CCCCTGTTCCTACACCTCCACTTAGAGTTGGGAAACACTAGAGAGTAGAGCTGACGTAAGAAAGTAAGACTCAACAGCCTCTGTGGCTTTGGATGCAAGATTAAGTATGCACAGCTTATTTCCTACTGTGGCAACTCAGAGCCTGAGTCAGTACCAGGGCATAGGAGTCTATTTGGCTGAAAAAACTAAGAACACTTCTGCTCCTGCCCTGAAAGGGAAGAAAATCCCAGGAAAGGCTGCTCTAGCTTTAGGCAAGATATTGTTCACAAATGCTTGGATGGGGAGCCATCAGCTCCAAGCAGAAATCTGCCAAGTGTTTGCACCTCTGGGAGAGGTGCTGGGGCTCGGCTCATCCTTCTCACCAAGCCCCCACCAGATAAGAGCAACCTCTTTCTCTATTGGGTGTCAACTAAACAAGCCATGATGGTTCTTTGAGGTAGAAATGCCTTTGGGGGCCCAAGCACTATACGGTGTGGATCTGTGCCAGTGCAGGGGCAACCTCAGGCACTGGGATGTGTGGCCAGGGCTTTGGGGCTGTCAGTTCACTCACTGATATCCTGTATTCAAAAAGGAGACTTTTAGGATCTAGGAAAAAAAATAGAAAAATAAAAAGCTTCAGAGAATGAGATCAGAGTAAAGATTTGTCTAGGTACAGAGGGTCAGTTTTTAGCCTGTGCCATCCTGTTGGAGACCTGTTTCCTTTTTCCCCAGGGCAACCTCTCCCAAGACACATTAGCAAGGTGGGTGCATGTCATCCAGCTATCACAGCTTTGGTCTGCTGGGAAAGCTTCCTGCACTACATGTACTTGCAGCAGGAGGGCAGCACCTAGCCTGGCAGCTGGCACTACCTTCCCTGCCTTCGATAAGCAGGTCTGCATGGGCAAATAACAGCTGATTTTCTAGACGATAGCTTCTCAGCATGGGCAGAAGGCCACCTCTGAAATTATCTGCCCTCCAGCCTCCTCCTCTGCAATGCGCTGCTGGTGCCTGGCTGAATCTCAGGGCAGCTGGAGGTAACCACACAAGCACATCTGTGCTTAGTCTGGCCACCAGCACTCACGGCTCTGCTCAGAAAAGCTGCTTTAACAGTCACTTTGCAACAGAGATTGAGCCACCGCACTGCAAGGCTGCCACTGACACAACCCAGGCTTTCTGGCTGCCTCCTGGAGGTTGCTCTAGACTTTCCCTAGATACCAAAGTGTGTATTGGGAAAAGCAAGGGGAGCAGGGCCACAGGGAATTGGATAAGGCAACTGAGGGGCCAGATCCACAGTGGTGGGAGACACTGCTCAAGGAAGACATCAAGTGAGAAGCAGAGAAAATCCACTGACATTTATATGTGCACAGGAGGGGAGGCCATATCGAATGTGCTCTCGCTAGAGGGAGCAAGAAGATCAGCTGTTGGAGGACGCAAATGGGAGAGTTCAGGTAGGGAAACATGCAGCAGAAGGAGCCACAGGCAGAAACTGGGGATCTGTGCCTCGCACTGCAGCCTGGGGATGCTCCTAAGCAAGACACCTATGTGCCAGGAGGTAGCAGTCCCCCTGCCTCCCCTTGCTACACAGGGTTTTGCCCAGGTGTTATGGGGTCTGCAAGCTTTAGGGTTGCAGCTCCTTCCCTGGGGAGTGTATCAGTCATAGAATCATAGAATCCTTAAGGTTGGACGGGACCTCCAGGGATCATCTAGTCCAACCCCTGCACACACAGGGTCACCCACAGCACGTGGCACAGGACCGCATCCAGGCGGCCCTTGGAGATCTCCAGAGACGGAGACTCCACAGCCTCTCTGGGCAGCCTGTTCCCGTGCTCCATCACCCTCTGGGGATTTATGCTGTGCCCCTGCTCTTCCGCCCTCCAGCCGTCCAAGCTAACAGCTGCTCACCCAGAAAAGCAGAGAGCAGCCCTACTGCTCATTTACTGCTCCCACCTTTGGCTCTCACCTCGAGCAAACCACAGGTGCCACTCTGTGGCTGCTGAAATGGAAAGAGCCCGTCTTACCTGCTGCCAGGGCACAGCAAGGGCTAGCTTCTCCCTCAGGAGCAGGGAGTCCACAACATAGCTCTGACAGAAACTGAGGGCTCATGCTTGAGCTTAAATGGGGTCCTAAACCCATGGGCAGGATATGGGTAGAGGTCTCAGGGGAGGCTGCTCAGGGCTCTTAAAGCCAGTTAGTGGCCTTATGGCCTTGACAGCTGTGATAAGAGAGGAGGAAGAAACACAGGTTTCTGCCTCTGTCTTTCAAGGTCCTGACAGGGCCAGGCAAGTGCAGTCCCTGACACAGCCTCCCCTCTAGCTTTCCTCCTGGTTCAGGAGCTAGGGGCAGTCTCCCGGTAGCTTGTTGGGTCCTGCTGCTTTCCCCAGGCACCCCAGGGTACCCCTTTCCTCCTGGCAGTTTGTCCTTCACCCCTGCCCCTGTGCCAGGAGGAAGCATCCCCAGTCATGCCTGTGCAGCTAAGGACTATCAAGAAAATGTCACCAGTGCTTTCCAGCACCAGACCCAGAGCTGTTCAGTCCTTTACCCTAGCCCTTGCCAAGCTGACCCAGGCCTGGCCCTAAATGAGCACCTTGGGCATGCTGCCAGCCCAGGGAGGTGGTGGAAGCTGTGGAGCAGCCATGATGCAGAGTAGGAACAGAGGACTTAGAGGGCCAAAGGAGAAGCCAGCTGGGAGAAACAGCCCAAATTGGCTTGTGGGCCAAGATCACAGCAGCCATTTACTGAAGGACAGGAGAGGGGGCTGCTGGCATCAGATGCAGAAGTGACAGAGAAGCAGCTCTCCAGAATGCTGCTAATTCTCATTAGGTCAAACACTTATACCGATCTGCTCCTGGCTTATCTTGCTCCTGCTGCTTATCTTGATTTCACTCCCTATGAGCCCTCTCAGCTCAGTAGTGCAGCAGAAGTGAACCAAGGAAGGAGGGAAGCTGTCACATGAGCGTCACCTCGCACCTACCAGGAAGCCAGTGCAGAGAAGTACTCCAGCACTCGTGGTGTCACAGGTCTCGCCAGCCCATGGCTGAGAACTTGGCTCATCAGACATAACAAAGCTGGGTCAGTTCACATCTTCTTGAAAGCCTTGTGGGGTTGAAGCTTGGAAGCTAGAAATGAGCCAGTCACCAAGAAAAAGGGGTTGGCCAAGGCTGGCCCAGCCTGAGAATCCTGTGGTCTGAGACAGCAGGAGGGTAAAAGCAGCCAGGAGCTCTGTCTCCTCTTCCCAATCCTGGGAATCCAGGCTGCCTGCTGAGCATTGCAGAAACAGCCTGTGTGTCCAAAAGGAAAGGGAGCAAAGACTTTTTGGCCAGGCTGGAAAATGAAGCCACTGCCCCTTGTAGCCATTTCCAGTACCTGCCTTGACAGCACACCTGGTTACAGGTTATGGAAGCAGATCCCAGGTCTCCTTACAGCCATCCATCCCTGCCCTGCAGGACACCTTCCTTCCACATGGAGTTGTGCCAAGATGTAACCTCGTACCTCATGTTACAGGAGCAAGGACAGCAGCAAAATGTGGCAGGACACAGGGAGAAGCTACCCCAGTGCTCTCTGCTGGGGGCTCCCCAGCTTTCAGTTCCTACTGTTGGAGCAAGAGTGGAGCCAGCTGGAGCTCGGGAGAAGAAAGCAGAACTCATTGGAGCAGTGCTGCACAGGCAGGGACAGGAAGCACGGCTGGCCCGCATGGGCAGCTGATGCACCAGGAACCCAGCTAGGCTGCACTGTGTCTACCTTGGGCCTTTTATTTTTGATTCTGTGCTTGGCTAGCAGGTTGCAAAACCCAGACAGTGAATCAGATGAGGCTGGAGTTCCCTTTTTCCCCTTCCTCAGCCCAAGGGAGCAGCAGAAGGGCAGTTGTGAGACCCATCCTAGTGCCCCAGCATGGCAAAAGCAGCCCCAGGCTGGCAGCATCTCCCCTCCAAGTGGAGAGATGGTCCCTGGGGCTGAGTTAAACAGCCCCAGACCCTGCCAGGTGGGACGAGGTCACACACACTAGGTCCCCCAGCCCGGTGTCAGGAAGTGAGAGCTTTTGACCAAGCAAAGGCCAGCTCGGTCAAGCCGACTGGTGCTGTCCTCATTGGGGTCACCAGCACCGCACGCCACCATCAGAGGAGAGCAGAACTGAGCACCTCCTAGCCACAGCACTGTAGGGTAGGCTGATGTAGCCCCACTCGAGGCTGGATCCTATTGCCCCTCAGCACCGCATAGTCAAAACCAGGCACAGGCACCATCTCAGAAAGAGCAAGGTTTGCTCAGTGCTTTCCAGAAGGATGTATCTGCTGAAGCTATAACCATGCCACGAGCACACTCCAGCCCCGTGAACAGCCTCAGCAAGGGAAAGGAGGCCCCTCATAGCTCTACGGGTGCTAAAAGCATCTCAGCACCCTCACAAGGAGGACGGCTGCAGGCTGGGCATGGGTGACAGCTGAGAAAGCGCTGAGGCAGCAGGAAAGCTGTGGTGGGAAGCTCTGAGTCAGCTCCGACCACTGCTTCACTGCAGCCAGTCCCCTGCCCTCCTCTCCCCCTGCAGCCCCACAGGGTTTCCCACAGCTCCCTAGGACAAAGCAGAGTGTGTATCTTGCAGAGAGGCCGCGTGCACGTCGGTGAAAGAGGAGGGCCAGAGCCTCGGGGCTTGCTTAGGTCACTGCTGGAAGGTGTCTGCCGTGGTGCAGCCAAGAAAGCGGTTCTCAGGTCCCCTGAACTGGGAAATGGGACACTGACCTAGGATGGGTTTTGGGGAAAGGATGAAGCCGAAGTGGCCATCTAAAGGAATTGCTCTGCTGCTCTCAGCATGGACAGCAAAGGATGCTGCATTCAGGGAGAGTACCATAGGGAAACTGAAGCAGGGGCTGTCACTTCGGGGTTTCTCAGAGAGATTTTCTGCTGGAACACCACTGGCTGCAGGCAAATAGTGACACAGAGCAACCAGCCCCATAGTTACTACCGCATCAGGCCTCAGGAGTCAGCAGACAGCATTTTGGGAGTGCTGAGTCATGCTGTCTGAGTGCTGAGTCATGACTGGGCCATTCTCCAAGGTCAGCCACAACCTCTCCCACCCCAGGATCCTGCACCCCCTGCGCTGCCTGTGTGCCCGTCCCCCAGGCCTGGCAAGCCCAAACCACATCTGCTTCCTATCGCTCTGACAGTCCCTTCTCCCAGACTATCACCCTCCAGGACAGCCCCACTATTTGTTGGCTTTTTGAAAGACTGAGCGTCCTACCAGCAGGACCATAGCAGACCAGGTCCCTGCACAGATGCATGGAGTGTCATGGGAACAGCCCACACGGGCACTGTCCCCTCAGGCAACAGGGATGGGGGATACGGGGCTCATTGTCCTTCAGCTCCTCTCCAGGGGGACATGAAGCCCCACTTCTTCTCATCTGCCCTTCATCTGTCTCTAAAGCACAGGCAAGATTTGGACCAGTGGTTAAACACTGTAAAATCTTGGTCTCTGGCTGGGGGGAAGAGACAGAAACCTGGCTTTAATCATTCCTCTGTGCTGAACACAGCAGTGGGCCGTGGCCTTTTTTGGCTGCCTTCTGCTTGGAATTTTGTGGTGAGGGATTTTTTTTTTTTCACTGATTCATGAAAAGCCTGAGACTGGCTTTAGGAGCCGGGTTTTTCCCCTGTTAGCATCCATCTCTTCATGCTCTGGGCTCCTCACATCGCTGTTGTTCCTAACAGATCTCCCCAGCCAGAGGGAAGTGGGGGGATGTTTAAGACTATCCAGCACAGCCCTGGTTAAATAATGGCCCCAGTGACACCTGCGCCATAGTCAATACCCACAGCAGAGCCTGTCGACACTGAGTCTCCCTGGAAAAGGACCTGCAGTGGCTTCGTAACAGCTGGCCCATCCGGTTCCATTCTGCCTCTGCATCCTGGGCTTTGTGGATCCATCTCCAGTTCAGGGCTTCAGAGACTCTTCTTTGCCCAAGGACCCTCTGTCAGTGGCTCACTGCAAAGGTGCTGGCTACTGGCAATGAGGTCCCTGTGCCACCACTGCATCTGGAAACCCCAAAGCAGCACAAGAATGGGTGAGGATATTCACTATAATCACTATATCCTATTCACTATAGGACCTGGCCTGGTTCCCAGACAGACTTGCTCCATAGCTCAGTGTTGGTGCCCCTGAAATCCTGAAATACATGCTATGTAAGCCCCAGCTGTCCTTCAGCCCCTGATTTCCACCCACGTTTGGAGGCAGCTTGGATTCATCTCCAAAGCACCCTACCTTTTCTCTCTCCAGCTGAGCACACTCAGCCAGGACCTATTGCTGCAGCAGACGATTCACAGCATCCCCTAGGACAAACAAACACCAGGGTTTTGTCCAGGCTGCCTGGACATTTCCCTGCCAAGGGATCTCAAGCACTTGGGAAATCACAGAGGAAGCAAGACCCTTCTGGAGTTTATGTTAGATGGGGGTGACTGAGACAGAGAGTAGGCTCAGGGCCAAGACGTGTTATTCACAGTCTCCTGTTTCTCAGGTCCCTGCTACAGCTACTGGGCAGAAGGTTGCACGCTCACTGATGCCTCTGGGATGGGGTGAAGACCTTGACTTCCCTGGGTCATAGGAGAGGACTGGCTGAGGGTGCATGGTTGGCACAAGGGGCTAAGGGCACTCTCCACTGCAAGGGCAGAACCAACTGCCACCCAAGAGGGTTGTCTGCATAGTCAGGGTAGTCGTGGTCAGAGAGGTGAGTTAATCCTCCAGAGCAGCCCCGCTGAGCGCTGGAGGGACAGTGTGTTCAGTGTGGTACGGAGGAGGGTTTATTCTCCCAAAAATCTCAGCTCAGAAGTGGACTGGGGCAAAGTGAAAGGCAAATGTTTGAGGGTGCATACCAAAGGGGTGAGGAAAGTCTTCCCTGAGCTACAAGGAATTATTTTATGTCCCGGGGCAGGGTGGGGGGCAGCTGTTGTTTCCTGACTAAAGATCATTTAGCCAACACATGTTAAAAATCATCAGCAGCTTAATCAAACAAGGTCAGGCTGCGGCTTGCCTTAAAGGAACAGCCTCAGGAATCTGAGATGGAGAGATGGATCTGTGCTCCTGGAGATGTGAAACAGGAAGGGAGATCATGCTGTTAAATCATATTGAGAGAGGTCCAGTCTGAGATAGCCCAGCAGGTCCTGCACATGCCATTCCCTCCATAAGACATGGAAACAACACATATTCTAAATGGCTCGTTCATCTATCCTGCCTGCAAGCAAAGCCAAGCAAAATCAAAAGACAAGCTGGAAAATCCCTCTCTCACAAACTCTGAGAAAGCAAGCTCTTTCTATTTTCCTCCACCCCATCATTGAGTGATGAGGAAACAAATCTCCAAGCTGGGCTGACCTAATTCTCATAGTGCACGGTCCAGGAAGCATTAAAAGTGAAAAACAACCCCTCAGCCAGTCACAGGAGGCACTTTTTATCTGGCTGCCACCCAGTTTTCTTTGCATAGTCCTAGACCTGGTCATGCCCTCACTTGCAGGCTCGCCTGCAACACAAATCTCTCATCTCCAAGGCACAGAAAGGCAACCAAAAGCACCCGAGTTCTTGTAGCTCCAGGCACTTCCTTGCTCATCAGCCCCACAGTGCTGCCTGAGACTGGGGCAAGTGGTTCAGAACACGGATGCCCTTTTTCTAGCTTTGCTCACATGGCTCTGATGGCTGTGAGCCTTTGTAACAAGGAGAACGATCAGGAGGGCTTGTTTGCATTTTTTTTTTTTTAACATGCTGTCAGATATATATTTGCCAAGCATCCTGCCCCAACTCCAAGGAAGGAGAAGGGCAACAGATACCTCTCTGGTCTGTCCCTGGTCATGTCGCTTGGCTTGTCTCCCCTTCCAGACGCTCGCCGGGGGATGGTGCTACACTACATGCTGGAGCAGAGCAGCACCTGCCTCTTGCCAGCTCTGGGCACTGCGCCATGTGCTGAGCCGGTCGGGTGCAGCGGCGAGAACCCTTGGCTTGGCAGATGCCCCTGTCTCAGGAGTATCCTGCCTGATGCAGCATGGAGGGGCAGGGACACCATTTCCCCTCCAGGTCCTTACCTGACAAGTCACCAGGAGTTTGGCAGCCACTGCTGACAGACAGTGTGGAGGCCAGAAAAGGGTGCTGGAGACAAGTGCAAGCAGGAAGATCAGCAAGCAGCCCAGACTAACAGGCTTTGCCTGGGGCTGCCCGTAATAAATCACTTCCAAATCCTTCAACATCCCCCTTTTAGCCCCTGCCCCCCATCCAGTCCCACCTCCCTCCTACTGTGATGAGGCTCCAGCGTGTATCAGCAGGAGACAGGGGAATAGGGACAGCTTCTGTGCCACCTTGCTGCCAAAAGAACAAGATGAAAAACTGTTTTGCCACCAGAAGATGCACATTCCCCCCCCCACACCATCTCCCTTTGCACATCACAGCACACTGGAAATGCACACACAGCGAGTGATTGGATCAGTGATCTCAAGGCATTTGTGTGGAGTTTGCATTATTTAAGCCTTGGCGAGTCTTTTATAAAGGCAATAAAAGCAGATAAAGTGACTGGTTACCTGTTTTCCCTATTATCTGGGAGAACGTGACTGCTAATCACGGGGCTCCTCTGCCGACTGGGCAGGTTGGGTCCTGAGAGCTGCAGCCCGCCAGAGATGGTCAGCATGTCCAGCAACTGCTGCAGAAGGGACCTTTGCAAAGGGCTTGGGAGGACCCAAGTGCTGAGAGAAAAACATTCTCCACATGGCCCAGCAAGCATGGGTAGAGGCAAGTCTGCAGAGGAGACCCACGCAAAACACTTCTGCACTGCCAACAGAGCCAGACTGCAGTGACGGGTCCAGAGAGCAAGGGTCAGCACTCGGGGCGAGCATACAAACATCAGCCTGAGGGGTGAGGAGAGAGTAAATATTGACAGGGAGAACTGCCCAGGGGATGTGCCAGACAGCCGTCACCCTGCAATGAAAGCGGACAAGAGCTGAGGGTCTCCGCCAGCACACGCCACTCCGCTTCTTCGGGCAGCTGTAAACTGGGCAGAGCCAAGGCAAGATCTGCTTGAGCTTTTGTCGTGCTCTGCCTCACATGTGACTAGCTCAGAGTGGCTCCCGCTCCCAACCCCATGCACCAAGCAGTGGCTCTACTCAGAGATGGCCAGGGAGACCCCAAGCTGCACTTAGCCGATAACCTCCTCCCGACAGGGCCCATGTCCTCCAGGCTGGAGGGGGAGCCCCGAGGTTAGCCTCACACTAACTCCTTCTTTTCCCCTGATCTTGGCTTCAGATTTCATCTCGCTGTGCCAGCTCAGGGCCAGTTTACAACTGGTGGCCAGCCAGTCCAGAAGAATTCAGCACTTCCTTCTGAGAAAGATAAACTACATCTACCTTGGACATTGAACCAGACTCTCCCTGTGCCGAGAAATCCCAAGGGTTCCTCACGTGGCAGACGCTGGGGCAATATCTGTGTGCCATGGAGCCAACCCTCACTGGGCCACGTCCATGCAGGCACCACAGGGACAGCTCCCCAAAGGCATCACTATGCACGGCCCAAGATGAAGCTGTGAGGCTGTCTGTAATGGGGACAAGAATGCATAGTGGAAAAGTAGGAATGAAAAGCAGACCAAGATGTTTCTAATTCAATCTTCTGCTCTGCACTGGCAGGGAAAAAAGTATTTTTCCTGTCCCCCTACTCCAGGCCAAGGTGATTGTAGACCAGAGAAGGAGCTGCTGCACACACAAATCAAAAAGTCCTGGTCACCATGGAAAAAGAGAAACTGGGGGGCTCTTTTCCATTTAATGATGTGATACCTGTGAACAGCTCGTTTCTCCTGCATCCAAAAGAGCAGCCAGGAATCCTGCTGCGGCATCCCTGCAGGAATCTTACGTGCAAAAAGCAAGGAGAAGGCAGCTGGATTTGGTGAAAGAGAGAGTGGCATCATTCCTGGCAGGCAGGATATGAAGCAGAACAAGTATTTAAAGGGCAAAAATGCCTTTCACTTTTTTGAAAGCGCTAAAGAAGTGGCCTGCTAGTGAGGTGTCCCTTCCTAGCAAAAAGTTTCTTCAGATGTTATGTCCTTATGTGATAAACTCAAAGCCCTGGAGATGGGATGGGGCTATAAGGCAAGCTCTTACCTGGTCAGCATGGGCCTTGGCAGGGTCCCTCCTCACCCACTCACAGTCTGTTTCACAGTAAATCCTAATTCTGCTCTCAGTGAACTCCCGGGAGCTCTCTCTGGAGCTATTTGTGGATTTGGGCTGACGCCAGTCCACAGGTTTCCCACACCCTGCTCTTAGGGGAGAATGAGTGGTTCCAGCAGAGTGAAACATTTGCATGTAACAAGATCTCACTTTCTTTCAGAGCTAAAAACACTTACAGGCCAGGAAAAAAAAATCACCTGAGCAGGGAGCAAATTGCAGCTGCCAGGTTTTCTTGCAGCCAGTTTTCTGCTTGCTTTCTAAATAACTCAACATTTCTATTTCAAAGCAACCAGAAAGGTTACTCATTAGAGGGGTGGAGCTTTTAGGGTCAGGAGCGGAACCTCCAAGTACTCCAAAACAACCTGCCTTGCTCCCAGCCCAGTGCTCTCCCCACTAGCACATGGCCCAGGGCAGGTTCTTGCTGGATGGCAGAGCAGACATGGGCCCACCAGGCACAGCCTTCTGGCCCCGGTCAGCAGAAAACCGTCCCTTTCTGCAAACTTTTGTCTCTTCAAGCCTTGGGGTAGCCAGGTGACCTCTTGCCCTGCAGGAATGTGCTGGTCCATCATCTAAATCTGGGTCATACAGTGTCCCCCTTGCCCTAGGACCTTCCCTTCCCAGCCCAGGCAGTCCAGGTTTCTCCCTGCCTACAGCAGCCCTGCATTGCTGGTGCTCACATTGCCCTCGGACGGAGGTGTGACAAGTCACACAGGCTGTCCCGGAGGGCCCATAACCCTATTCCAGTAGACCCTATGCAAATGCAGCTTGACTTCTTCTGCAGATCAGGGACCTGCGGGCCAAAACCTGTTTCCACACTGACTCCCCACCCTTTGGTCTCTGCGTCCTTTCTTGGACCCCATCCTGGTGACCTCCCTCAGTCCCTGTGGCCCTAGGGCAATCCTCGGTCCCTCCTTGTCCCGGGCTCACCCGCGGCTCCCAACCTCGGGGACGCGGCTCCCCCCTCCCTGCCCGCCCCCGCA